CGACCACAACACGTCAACTCTAACGCATTCTCGTATATATAAGTACTTGCACGCGGATGGTAAAGCTCCATGTGTGGTGTTCTGGAATGGTAACACAGATAAGGTTTTAATAGAAAAATTAGGAATAAAACATGTAAAAAAATATCTGGACATAACAACCGTACATCACCCATATAATAATAATTACGACCTTGTACTACAAGACATGAGTCGAAATAAACAAGTAATATCTAAAATACCCATTGGGCATTATATTAAAAAAAATGGTGGGACTCTGAATTTATTAGAGTGTCACACATTGATAAGTGGCCAAATCCATGAGGGGGTCGTAGATTGTCATGATCCAGTTACCGACGTAATACTAACCAAATGTATTTTTAACTACATAATAAAAACGGTCAAACCCAGTACAATTTATTCTTATTGTAGTGGGAAACCAATTAAGGCTAGGGGTAGAAAAAAAACAAGGAAAGAAAAAAGAGAAAAAAAAAAAATAATAATAAAAATAATAATAATAACCATTAAATAACCTAACCTAACCTAACCTAACCTAACCATTTAACAGTATAGTTGTAGTTCATAGTATAAGTTGTAATTAACAAAGATTTATAATGTATAATTCAACAAATATTAATCAATCAAATATTGTAAAATATTTCCAACCCATTGTAAACCAGTTGTAAGGGTGAAAAGTTAACACTTAAACCTTGTAAAATTTAGTAAATACTAATTTTTGTAAATTGTATCCCGAAAATTGAATTGTAAGAAACAACATAACATTTTTGTCGTTTCACCCCAAAATTGTTTCTTTAGCGGCGAGGTGTAATATGCATATATTACTAAGAAGTAATAATACGCATATTCCGAGTCATAAAAACGTACCAAGAATATTTATTGCACACATAAATTTGCGAGTGCCACGCGCAAATCTCAGATCACAAGAAACCGCGAACATCAATCATTCAAATAAGATAACCAAGCCAAGGATAGCCACGTGCCGAAAACAACGCAATTAAAACAGAATCAGAGTATATAAAGGCTCCGTTTCACCACCAACGACAGACGTGTCCAGCTATCAGACCAAGCCCTTCTGAGTTTCGTCTTCGATATTGTTAGTGCACGAATTTATCATTTATATTTGTATCTGTGTCTGTATCTGTATTTGTATCTGTATTTATTAAAGTGTTTACAAGTGTTTAAATTAATTATTGAATCAATTTTCCCTGATCCAACAACATCATTACGATAGGTACCTGTTTTTATTGGGTACCACGTAACAATACGCTACCACCGTGATCAGGCGTGTAGACAGAAAATATTTATTAAGGGGCAATCATTTTAGACCCTTGTATCATTTTCCATAATTTGTCTCCAATGAGAATCTTGTAGGGCCTATAGAAGGCCGTATTTGACACTATAATATAGTTATAGTTTCCATTTAATATTATGTCTACTATGAACAGGCTCAATATTTAACTTCAAGATAACGTTTTCTACGAATATAAAATGTAATATAATAATCAAAATCATAATAAATTGTGTTATTGAATAGTTATCGCAATAAATTTATTTAATTTGTATAATAATAATAATAGCATGGATTTGATACTCGGTAAAAAAAATTGTATATGAATTTAGGAGGAGGGACAGCCTTGGCAAATTTTATTTCCGGAAAATCTGCCCCTATCCTTATAGATATACTAGTTCTTTGTTAGTAATAGAGTTAGGCAGAGTGTGAGTTATTAGGTCCTAATATGTAGGTTCGGAAAATTTTGGGTTTTAAAAATATTATATTCAATTAAGTTTATTGTTGGGTCATTTTCCTTTTTTCTAGTTATTAGCATAGTGATGTTGTTTTTATTAGCATTGATATTCTTTGGTCAAGATTATCAGAGCTAATTGTAACGTTATTCCTGAATTTATATTATAAATAACAAATATGTAAAAAATTATACGATCAAAGTATACGGGTGTTCTTGATTAAAGTTATGAGGACCGTTGATCACGAACTAACACATCGAATTGCATTAATTTTTGCCAATTCGGTTCGTTTTTCGTATTATTCGACAGACATTATCTTATTTTTGTTATTCATCTTAAAAAATAGAGTTATTTAGGATGAAAATAGTTCGTCAAAATTAACCCCCTCTTTATATTAAAATCATAATTCAGCCTTGTTTATTATAGGGTCTTCATTCTACGGCACCTTAAAAATTATAATAAGAACGCGGACCAAATAATTTATAACAATAAGCAAATAAATCTTTTTATAGAATAAAAATTAACAATATGTTGATATAACCTATTCTTTTAAGCACGTATAAATTATAAAGAATGACATTTTCAGCAGGATATATACGTATATATATATAACTAATACGACAGACCTTATTCATGGTTTTTGGATTAAACCTATTTTTACAAGTAATGTATGTTCAAGAATTTATTTTATATTCAAAAAATAAGTTTTTGTCGTGTATAATAATGACGGTTACCAGTGGCGTATTTAATATATACGCACCCCGGGGCAAAATAATTTTTCCGCCCTTCCCCCTTATGAAAAAAAAAAAAATAATATATATAAATAAATTCAAAGTTAAGCAATAAAAAAGTTAATTTTATGAAACAAATTATAAATCAGTTGTTTTACGATATTGTATTAGATAATTTTATAGTAATACCTAACGTTAACCTAATTTTTTTTTCAAAGTGAATATTCCTTTTTTAAAATATATATATATATATATATTAAATATAAAAAATGGAAATGACACTTATTATATGTACAATAATTAACAGTACATGGTTTTTTATTAGATTAAATATATTATATTTATTATTAATTATATATAATAAAATAATTGATAGCTTATACTTTTTTTCTTGACTTTTGAGAAGAAAAATGTTAAATAACATCATTAAAATTAATAGTTTTCGTTAAATCAGCTTCAATGTTGAGGTTTGTTAATTAATTAAGACGATTTTCTCCCGTTATTAATCATAAATATGTTTTGACCTTTTTTAATTTAGAAAATGATTTATTCGTTGAACAATTACTCGAAGGTGTACAGACATAGTAGCATCCTTAGAGCAATATTAATATTAGGATATACTTCAACTAAACTATTCTATTTTATAAATGCTAGCATACATTGAACACTTTTAGGTACAGTTTTACTCCTTTTGTAAACTTTTTAAATGTGCCCTAAAGTGAATACCGCGTTCTGTGTACCCGAGTCTTTATTATAAATATTGAACGAAAATATAATATCTTATCGAATAATAAATGTAATATACCTATTTTGCTATTTCACTATTATCTAGGTGACTAGGTATAATATAATTTTTTTAATTTCTTATTATATGCTCAACAATATTTTTTAAAATACTAAACAATACCGAAAAAGGTGTGAAAATTAAAAAAATCATGAACACATCAATAATAAAAGTTAGAATATTTTGCCGCTCCCAAAAATTTGACGCCCGGGGCATTTGCCCCTTTCGCCCCCCCCCTTAAATGCGCCACTGCCGGTTACACACGATCAGTTTTAACTGCCAATTCAAACTGACACTTTTTGAGTCCACACACGTTTATTTTTAACTGAAGACAGATATAATTTTTTTGTGTTCAATACATCTAGTGTAGAGTAATACATAAAAAAGATGTCATCGGACAATGCTTTAGCCACACTTGGTCTATTATTAGTTTTAAAAAATAATAAAAAAAATTAATGTAAACGTAAAGAGTGGTTGAAAAAGGAATGTTTATTCCCATGTACAATTATTAAATTAACTATAGTTCATTTTGCTATGCCTTAGGAAAAACAATTATAAAAGTTTTTCCTAAAGCATAACTATCTAAGAATGAGTGAAAAAATGTATTTCAATCAACCTACTCTCACTAGTGACTCTCCACTCATTAGAAAAAATGATACGGTTATGAGAAAAGCCATTTCATTACATGAGAGATTAATAGCGACATAACGATTTCTAGCAACTTCTAAACATGCAACACAGGAGCGTACCCAGGAATTTTTTATGGGGAGGGGTCCAACATTTTTATTTTATCTGATAATGGGAAATTAAAATACACTATATACTATTATTGTACTATTTGAATAGCTAACTGCAGAAACGGAACAAGTCCACTTTTCCTAATTTTTCAGGAATGATGAAAAACTGAACATGATATGTTCCCTTTATGCAGTAAAGTTAAATTTCCAAACGCTATATTTAGCGTTTGGATAGTCGGATTTGACTCCTTTCTACAGTAAACGATGTATTTACGCGTACTTAACAAAAAAATGATAATAAAATCAAATTTGATAAAAATGGACTTGTCCCGTTTCTGCAGTTAGCGATTCATTTACTGTTAAATCATTGAGTATGTAGAAATTTCAATGAAGGGTCCGGACCCCCCCCTCCCCCTTGGTGCAACGAATAGTGTTAATTTTACTTTCCACTGTATCTATAGTTGCCTTGGATTCCGCTTCTTTTATTTTCTCTAATAAATTCTTGTAAGTCGCTAATTTAATTTCCCAATCATAGTGTTCCTTACTTTTCTTTTCACTATGTCACAGAGATCCGGATATACAGGTACGAATGCGTAGATAACTGCGACACGACTGACGATAATTACCACACATGTTCAGTTTACACACAGTTCCGTCGTTTCAATTAAAAAAATATGTGAAATCATATTTCAATCAGTTTTCACTGATAAGGAGAGAACTGTCAGTTTTCAACTTATACACAGTCAGCTTTAACTGACAGTTAAGACTATTCAGTGAAAAGTGACAATTAAATTGTTCGTGTGTAGCCGGCACAATACGGATAATTGCGCGCGGTTTTTGCGTACTGCGCCGCCGGGCCGTTTGTTCCACGACGTGGTAGCGGCGAAACGTCACAGTCATACGTTAACAGGGTTATGGTCGCAACTATCGCGCCGGGTGGTTATCTCGTAGCGCGATAGTTTACCTCCGCTCGATCAGTCAGCACTGAACGCCGTCAACGCAACGACTACCAGCGCGCTCCGCCACCTATCCACCAACCAACGTCGAACGGTCCTATACGCGTTTATGCCGTACAACGCGAACTTCCCCGCTCCTCTTCGACGGTCCACCGACCGCTTCTTCGTTCGTCCCTTGTAAACAACGAAAAATTCCCCCTTGCCCCACTCCTCCCAATCATCGTTTGCTGCTGCCGGGTGTGTGCGTATGTGTGTGTGTTCGCGTTGCCGTCGAGGTTTCCGAATCCCGAGTCCGCAGACCGAATAACATGACAAAAATGGCCGACGGCGTGGATATCGATCTGTACGCCGACGATTTGGAACAAGACTTTGCTCAGGTAAAAATGTTGCGTACGCGCGCACTGGCTAATGCATAGTGCGGACGACTGGAACTTCGCGACCACGACGCCGCGCGTTCGCCATGTTTTTGAGCTCGATTGCGGTTGCCGGTGGCACAAATCCTCGGGAGATTTATTTTGGCGCTGCCCGAGCAGTTTCCTTACAAAATCCGTTGTAGGAGTATAATTTTGGTTGTTTGATTTAGTTTGCGGTTTGGTTAACGTCCCAGATTGTATTCTACTCGTCTGATAATCGTGGCTGTTCGGAACAGGCCTATATTCGATCTGATCCTATGCTTCTGTTAGATCGAGTATTTCTGCTTTTTCCTGATCGTTTTTGTAGTTGATTCTTCTGCGTATGTTCTACTGTAAACCGTTAGGTTCCCTGACTCTTTATAACGTGAGACTTCTTTAATATTTCCAACATTGGTAATTGGGGAATATTAGGTTATTATAATTTATTTCTCGTTCCTTTGGGCGTGCAGAAGTCCTTGCTCAAGTCTTGGTAATTCTGTGGTAGACAGTTGGAAGCCATCGATTATTGTTTTTTTTTTTTTTTTTTTTTTAATGCTAAGTTTTTACTTTTATTCTAATAATACATATTTCGATCTATGAATTTATAATTTTTGAATTGATCCTGGATTATTCCTCAGAGCTTGTTTTGCAATATGATTCATTGTTGTAATTTAACAACATTTTGATTCCAAATCATAATAATATAGAACTTAATATTATTAATACACTAGGGTTTCGATAATCCGAACGAGATTGGGGAAAGGGGTCGTTCGGATTATCTATGGCTTAATAAAAACATCAATTGTATTGTAATTTAAATTATGAAATTTATTTTTATTTTTATTAATCATGTACAAACTCGTAATTTAAAAAGATAATGTATACTAAAAATTATTATAATTTTATATGTGTGTATGTACAGCCAGTTAATATAATATTTATTAAATAATATGAACTTTATTATTTAAAATATATATTTATTATTATTATGATATACATAAATATGTATTAATATAGCATTGCAATATTTCTAAAGCTCATTCAGATTATCGAAGCCCTACTGTAATTTGATTGTATCTTTAATTATATCTTGACAATACAAAATTTTGATTTGTCAATAAGAATTCAAAACCATATTTATACCTATTATTAGGTACTTGACTCATTAATTTGTACAAATATTAATTTATTCTTTACCATTTAATTATATTTTATTCATAAAACAAATAATTTGAATAAAGTTACAAATTTACTTATCATGTTTCTTAAATTTGTTAAACTGAATTAAATGTACTTGTATATCTTATCTTATATCTATTTTGAATCTTATTTTGATATGACTTGTTCAATTATGTTAAGAGTTAAAAAAAAAAAAATTAGAAAATGTTTTATTCAATTTAACTGTAATTACTACTACAAGATTTCTTATTATCACCGTATAAGATCTATAGAACTCTATAGAATACTTAAACCATCAGGCTTTATAGGGTGTTCAAATCCTTAAAATTAGGGTTAAGGTTACCTGCACATTACAGACTTTTTATCGGCCTATAGATTAGTTGGGTTGGGTTGTTAGTGCGCACACTAGACCAACTAAATATTCTGATTGGTGGTGACTGCGCACACCTGCCAACAGTCGGCTGATCATTACTATTGATACAATGGAGAAGAAGGATTAAGAAGAAAAAACCAAGAATATTAGGTACATCCTATGTACACTGATAGATTATTACAAGGAAAGTTCTATACAATGCATTCAAAATTATCATAGAACGCGGGTCTTTTATCGATTTCCTCTATTAAATTTTCAATATATGATTTAATAAACAGCAACATCTTCTAGCAGCAGTAATTTTCTGTGACTTATAATTTATCGGTCTAGTTGGCCAACTAATTAATCGGCATGTGTGCGGGCAATAGGAGAGCATTATACTGATAAAACAGTCGGCAAATAGTTCACCGACTGTTTAGTTTGAAGGCAATCGTACAGCCCATCAAACTTATTAATCGGGCGATACCAAATCATGGGTTCTTACATTAACCTTCATTTAATTTAAAAGTCGACTAAACTATCAGCCGATAAAAAGTCTGTAGTTTGTGGGCTCTCTAATAGACACATATAATAACACAGTGTTTTAAAAATCGTCACAATACATAGTTTTATATGGAAAAATACTTTAGTGTGGATTTCTTGGAAATTGATATTTTTAATGTAAATCAAAAATCTAAGTACAAATATTTATGAAGAATTATGGTGATCTCGTCTAAATTATTGTTGGATCAATCTACATGGCAACCAACCTGTTAAATTTATATTAATTATAAATATAATTTTATATTTATCTTGTGTACTTACTTATTTTAATTATTTAAATAAATGATTATACTTAATGGTTTATTATTCATAATTACAGTTATATATCCACTAGTATACCCAGTTATGTTTAATTTTTTTAACATTATTTTAATTTAGTACTTTTCTACAATCAAGCATAAAGTATTAAAATATATAAAACAAGTATATTATTGGTATGTTTAATATTGTAAAATGTTAATGGTGATACAATTTTTAAATATGTATTATTTAAAATAAATAATTACCCATCCTAAATCACACTGATGATTTTACTGTCAATTGTTTTGAATTTAATTGCGTGTTAGATTATTTTAATATTGATTGTCTTAAGCCGCGTCCAGACCAAGAAACATGTGTTGCCGACAATGTTGGTGACAAAAATCAGAAATGTTTCTGAAATTTGTGACCAACAATTGTGTCGGCGACATTGTCTCCAACAAATTTTTGTTTTCCATTCGACTCGGGAAAAAGGCGACAATGTTTATAAACATAGTCACCGACAATGTATTGACACGTCCAGACCGGTAAAATTTTGTCGATAAACATTTATAAATACACGTCATATTTGGTTATCCGTTTAAGTTCACCTGGTCCGTCTGTATGTATCGCATATTTTAACCAGTACATTTCTTTTGAACGGATATTTAACTTTTTTTTTATCAAATAATGGAATGGTCGAAAGAAAGTGTTTGTCATCTAATTGATTTATACCATGAAAAACAAATATGGGACCAAACTCAACCCGAGTACAAAAATAAATTTAAAAAAAATGATGCATGGTGTGAAATTTCAAAAATTCTTAATACTGAAAAATTAGAAGTCGAAAAAAAAATGAAAAACTTGATTAGTCAATTTTATCAGGAATGTAAAAAGGCGATGTCTGGTTCTTAAAACTACCATTACACCTACATAAGAAAATGTTTAAAAATGTTTAAGTAATTAATTATAAAGATAAATTGATATTTTAATTTGTAACAAATATAATTTTACCTCAATTCTCCAGATAGACCAATGTCATCACGTTTAAGATCAGTCATTAAATCATTTCCATTGTACTTTTTTTTTGCTAAAAGACTAGGACGAACCCAATACCTCTTTTTGGAGGTCTTTTTCGTTTTCAAACTTAAAATTATGCAAGCAGCTGCAGCAATAGCAACGTCTTTCTCGTTCCACATTTTCACCAAGACTAATTCACATATGTTTAGCAAATATGTTGCTTTGGTGTGGACGCGCCTGTTTTTAAATTTTGTTGGTGACATTTTTAGAAACATTTTGTCGCCGACATTGTTGACAAAGTCGACGACAAATGTTTCTTGGTCTGGACGGGGCTTTAAATACAATTCGGTTAATATAAAACATAGTTTATTATAAATGTTAAAATGTTTATAATTTTTGACATTTCTAATATTTTCTCACTTTTGATTTTAGTTATCTTAATAGATTTTTCTGTTGATTAAATATCTACTAATTATTATTATTAACTACTATACTTATTACTTATTAACTAATTATTAAATTGGATCTAACATTACTATAAATGATAAAATTAAAGCAATGTTTCTATAATTTTGCTACTAAACCTATTAGTGTCTGGTTAATTATTATTTATATTTACCTATATTAGATATATTTTTTGTTTAAAATACAGTTTTATAGTTTTAAATTCTAATAATTAAATTTTTTTTTTTATGAAAACGTACAATCTGCATTAAAAAATAAAAAATTAAAATTTATAAAAATAGACATAACGAAAAAATGTATGAGGGAGACTATCTATTGTTTGAACCTTTCAGAATTTGAAATTTATTCTATTTTTTTTTTTATTTAAGAAGTACACCAATATCTTTTGAGATGATTTGTAAAGTCATTGGAAATTGAGAGTGAAGATAAGTGAGAAATTACAGGATATTAGTGGTGCTGTATTTTAGTATGAAATGTTGTATTGTGTTTTTTATCCAAATTATAAACTGTCATAAAATTTAATTATTGAATTTTAATTATTGAAAATCCATTTTTAAAAATAGCTTATATAATAATTTTTAAATGTTTTCAATTTTATTAGGAGGATTTTGCTGGCAATGATAATGTAGATTTATATGATGATGTCATATCAGGGACTAATGATAATGCTCAGACAAGACAACCAGTTGATAGACCTCCTAGTGCAAATAATCAAAATAGCACTCCTTTAGTGACCAATGGCTCATCCTCTAATAATTCTACTAGTAATAATGCTACTACTGGACGTCGATATCAATTATATATTGGTAACTTAACTTGGGTTAGTGAAATTAGAATTTTAATAATATTCAATAATTAATATGAATAATTCTGAAGTTTTTTCCTTAAAATCTTAATACTTATGTTTAAAGTGGACAACTGATCAAGATATAACTGATAGTGTTACAAGCATAGGAGTATCAGATTTTATTGAAGTAAAATTTTTTGAAAATCGAGGAAATGGTCAATCAAAAGGTTTTTGTGTCGTTACATTGGGTTCAGAACATAGTTTACGACTGGTTATGGATAGATTACCAAAAAAAGAACTTCATGGACAGTCGCCTGTTGTTACATTTCCAACAAAACAAGCCCTTTTACAAGTAATTATTTTTAAATTATAAGCCTTTATTCAGTTTTTATAAAATTTATATATTTTTTTTTTAGTTTGAATCACAATCTAAAACTCGACCATTGCCTCCACCGAATAATCAGAATATGCCTTCAATGGGAGGCATGTCAAGAACTCCTGGCCAAGTTATGCAGCAGCCTATGCGGGGTGGTCCTATGATGTCACAACAACCTATGATGCAACAACAAGGTATGAGAAACAGAATGCCAATGCAAGGTATGCAACAACCTCAAGGTATGCAGCCACCTATGGGTATGACTAATGGACATAGAATGCCATTACAACCAGGTGGTCCTATGGGACCCCATCAACAAGGCCCTCCTCCACCAGGTTACCAAAACCAGTGGAATGGACCTAATCAACAAATGGGTAAAATTATTTGTATTATATATTATTTTGGGTGACACGTCAAAATATCCCGGTCAAAATATCCCCAACAAAATATCCCTAAACCAAAATATCCCCGACAAAATTTTCTATGACAAAATATCCCGCGTACAAATATCCCCGAAAAAATATCCCACGTAACTATTAATTAAAAATGTAAACCTTTTTATACAAGTTACATAAATATTAATACATTTATTGAATACAAAAATCAAGACATTTTTAAAATTATATTGGTATGTTTTTCGTCAAAAATTATTACACTTATTATGATAATTTATAATATAAGTTACATAAAGATATTAATACATTTACTGAATACAAAAAATGAATTAAAACATTTATACTAAGTTATGTGCTATTGATTTTAAATATTTGAATATAAATGAATGAATAAATGAATAATACTAGATTAGATAAAGTGTGATTGTTACTTCTAATCAGTTATTATATTATATTTCGTTGGGGATATTTTGTCGAGGATATTTTTACGCGGGATATTTTTACCGGGATATTTTGTCGTGGAACCATTATTTTGTTTTATAATTTCAACTTTTATTTTTTTTAATATTCTTTAGGTCCACCTCGACCAGGAATGCAACCCCAAGGGCCTGTGGGCCAACCTAGAGGACCACCTCCAGGAATGGTAATTCTAATTTTTTACATTATTAAGAATATTTCCCAAATAAATATATCTTATTATTTTTTTATAGTACCCTCCTGGTCAAGGTCCACCACGAATGGGCCCACCTCAAGGCCCTCAAGGTCCACCAGGACCTGGTGGTCCGCGTGGAGATTGGAATCGTCCTCCTGGAATGGCACCCCATCAAATGGCTCCTCCTGGATCTGGTTTTGCACCACATCAACAAGGTCCACCAATGCAAGGTCCTCCACCTGGTCAGGGTAAGTTAGTTTTTATGCGTAAAAATTAAAAATTTTTGAAATTGTATTAAATATAATTTCAAAATATTTTATTTCATTTAATAAAATAATATAAAATATAAATTTTATATTTTATATATATGTAATTATATACTTAAATCAAAAATTAAATTTATTTTATTTTCACTATAACATATAAGTTGTTTATTTTTATTAACTCATTAAAATTATCTTCTTGATATCGTTGTATTTATCCATGAGACTTGTTAACATATTAATGTTGGCCACCCCTAAAATAATATATAACTGCATATTCAATGTATATTTTAACCCGACGTTAGTCGCGCTAGTGTATATTACGTTGTTCATCGCACCGCGGTCCTTTTGACTGCGTTATAATTTTCTAGAATATAATTAAAAAAAAACGTAGTTTCATACAAGTTTAGTAATTTTATTAAGACAAATCAATTTTCATACAACTTTAATAATTTATAATTTTATTTACAAAGAAAAAATCAAAACTGAAAGTTACTTCCTTACATATAAATTGGGTACCTAATTTAAAAAAGCAATGTACGAGTTTTATTTAATTTTGTATACTGTATATTATGTATGTATGAGTAACTTAAATGAATAAATAAAATAAATAACAATATAAATAAAGTCCGGAAATTTTAATCTAATAATAACCTAATCGGCAATGTTAGTCGTAATAATAAAAATAATTACATCATTAGTCACGATTTGGTCGAAATGACCGCAATTAATGATATATCACATTTATCTTAATTTATTTTATATATATGAAATTAAATATACTTGAAATATTATATCATTTTTAATAATATTATTGAAAGGTATACCGTATATCAATGGTTAAAATATAAAACATAAATGTTTTATTAAACATGTAAAAAAAGTGCGGTCATTTTGACCATAGCGCAACTAACGTCTGGTTAATTAAAATTTTAAAAATAAATAACTTTAATTTTAAAAGTTTGCAATGTGATTTTGCTTTTGGTTGTTTTCTTTTGATTCTCTATAAAATATTAACCTTTATTTCTACAATTTATTATTAAAACCTTTTGTATTAGCCATTTGAATCCAAATTTTCGATGTTAACTTTAGGTCCAGTTCAAATGATGCCTGGTGGTCCTGGTCAAGCACCAGCACCTCATGTTAATCCTGCATTCTTCCAGCAGCCAAGTGGTGCACCACAGGGACCTCCTGGTCATCCAGGTTATGGTCCTCCTAATGGTGCTTCTTCTAGACCTTATATGAGTAATGAAATGGGAATGTCTGAACAAGAATTGGAAGAAATTATGAGTAGGAACAGGACTGTATCAAGTTCTGCTATAGCTCGTGCTGTTGCTGATGCTGCTGCTGGTGAATTCTCAAATGCTATTGAAACTTTAGTTACAGCAATATCATTAATTAAGCAATCTAAGGTGGCTAGTGATGAACGTTGTAAAATATTAGTGAGTTCTTTACACGACACATTACATGGAATTGAAACCAAGAGTTACAGTTCAAGAAGAGGTAATTAATTTAAAATATTTGTATTTTTAAGTAGATTATTTTATTGTATTTATATTTTTAGAGAGGTCCAGATCACCCCGGGATAGATTGCATAGAAGATCAAGACGTGAGCGCACTCGTTCTCGTGAACGTGATTATAGAGACAGAAGTCGTGAACGTGATCGTGACAGGGAACGGGATCGCGACAAGTATGTTTAATTTCTATTACATTAGTAAAATTTTGACAAGTCTATAGCTTTTTATTATTTTTTTAAAACTAAACATGAATATGTGGTTTACTTTGTAATAATTAATGGATTAATATTTCCATAATTTAATTAAGTTAATTAGTTAAAATAATATCAAAATGTATTTTCGTATAAAATTTGAAAAACCTGTCCTTAAAACAATTAGTCCTCTGCCTATTTTTCTGAGATATATTTTTATCTTATCTATATTATATTTTGATCTTATTTGTTAAATATTTAGGGTCAGTATAAATGTATGTTCTATAGTGACATGTTATTTTATTATTTAGTACATTTACTATGATAAATAAATAACTTAATTGATTTAAAATTTTAAAGTATTAATTTTCCAAAAAAATGTTATATTGTAGAACTCTGTACCTTAGCTAAATGAGTAAATACTTGGGTTATACAGTGCATTATTGCTGAAAGAATGACTTGATAATATATTTTGTTTTTTTAAAATTATAAAATATATTATTTTGTTATATTTTGAATAAAATGATTATGTATCCATAACATAGATATGTTAACAGGTACGTTGATCGTTATTATACATCAGAACGAGACGGTGACAGAGATAGGGAAAGAGAAAGGGATCGCGAATACAGAGAGAGAAGTCGTGAAGACAGGTAAGATTCTAGAATAATTTTTAAAGATCATAAAAAATTTTCTTGGAAGTCTGTGTTTTTGAAATTTCCACTCTTGTTGAGGGTAAAGTTTATTGTTTAACAGTTCTGTAAAAGCAAGCGGCCGAAATAGGAAAATCACCCCGCCCGATGTAACCGAGTCTGTTCCTGTATCCTCTAAATCCAGGTAATATCACCCATCTTCATTTCCTTTCATCAAGTTCCCTCAAAACAAAAAAAAATATATATATGTGTAAAACACATGTTAATAATAATATTCTATAGACTTGTATGTTTTTTTAAAAGATTGAATTTGATATTTTAATTTTAAATTGCTTGTTTATATATAGGTATTATGATGATCGTTATCGAGAGCGTGAACGTGACAGAGATAGAGAACGTGATCGGGAACGTGAACGTGAACCGACTTCTAGCAGGAGAGCAGTTGATGCAGACAGAGATATTGAACGTGACAGAGATCGCAGGGAAGACAGAGCTGAATCATCGCATCGTAGTTCTAGACATTAATACATCTATGGTAAGTATTTTTTTTATTGTAAGTATTGTAATCTTAACAACTCTAGTTCAGTCTAGACAACTCATGTTTATTTAGTTTGTTAAATTTTTAGAATAGATATTTCAAATTTTGAAATCTTTATTTTTTTTTTTTACATTTTCGTTAGTTGTTTATTTTTAGTTTTTATTTTATTTTTTTATTGTTTTATTTAATGGTCTTATGATGAAAATTATTTAATTCGTAATAAAATTATTGTTTATAAAATCACTATAAAAAATAAAAATAAACTTTAGTATTAAGCTTAACGCTGATTAAATTGTTTTTATAGATTTCATAGATGGTTTAAGAGCCTCTATTACCTATTGCTGTGATAAATGACCTATGACTGTGATAAATATCATTTTTAAAATGTAACATTAAATACAATTGTGTATTTAATAGTGTACTTGTAAAATAATAATTTTTGTATTAGGCTGATGAATTAGGTATGTATTCTAAATTTTTGCATGCATATTTGTTAAACTTAAATTGAGCATAGACTAATATATATAAGTATATTAATGTTTAAGATGATATGATAATAAAAATATGATCAACTTTATATTTAAATAATATGCCTGTATGCATAACTTAAAATTATATTATATTTTTTTTATTGTTTTTTAAACAATTATTTAATATTAAATCATTAACTAATGGTTTTCATTATGGGTATAATTAGGTGTTATAATTTATTATTTTTTCATTTATAGTAAAACCTCATTAAGATGCTTCACTTAATTTGCAATCCCATTAATATGCATATTTTTCTAAGTTTCTAGTTTCCATAGGGTTTTTAATATTGAAATTTTGCTTAATACATTGAGAAAAATTGTGTATCATAATGTTCGATTGGAAGCAAATGACATCTGTATATAATTATATAAAGAATGATTTTAACAATAGTGTGTTGAATAAATGTGAAATTGGGATTGCCCTTCTCTTCATTGCAGACCATATTAAAAATATAGGGGTAATATTGATGAAGTAACATGTTTTTGAATGGTAAAATGTGACGTAAAAAGATAAAGCAATCGCGAAAAGTTAGAATATTAGAGGTGTTGACTGATCTAATGAATCGTTCAATAGATTTAGAAAAAGACAAATACTTTTTGTTAAGAATGTTGGTAGAAGTTGAAGTTGAAAACTAAAAATATTAGGTTGTGGAAAAAGAGAATTTTACTAAATCAGTTGATAACTATTTTCATTGTGAATACATTTATTGAGTTTATTTAATATTTATGAAGTATTATTTAGTAAAGAATATATAAGAGACTTTTTTTAAAGTGTGTTAGGTGGGATTCTGCTGTTGCGGACATACATAAATGTAGGTCCTTACGACTCATAATACATGGATGGGACCACGTAGATTAAAAATAATAGAAATCGGGAAATGATTATTATAATATAATATTCGTATTCGTATATAGAGAAAGGAATGATTAAGAACCGAGGGTAACACGAATATGAGTTGTCAGACTACATTTCAAAGAATTATAAAAAAGCAATTAATAAAAGCGCATAACAAAATATGAGAGATGTTCGAATAGTAATATTACTGAGGTCAACCATTTTAATTACAATTTAACACCTTCAGGTAGTAACAGTAATTGGAAATAATGTATTACATAGAAATGCGCGGCCAATTCCCACGAGACCTAAGTTTATAAGGGGGTTGGGAACAGGACTAATATTCAGATGTGGTTTAGAGGTATAGTCGCCAGCACCTTTCACGCCAGATCATTTTCTAAATAGTGTTCTTTTTGTACTTAGAAGAATTCTTAAATAAACAGTTAAATTATATTTGAGTATTTTATTTAAATATTATCCTAAAAACTTAACCATCGTTACGATTGAACGACGGCACGCAACACTGCTAAAAAAAGCTTCATAAAGAAACGTGATACGTAGGAATAATATACGATTTATTATTTCACCCCACCTAATTATGCGGTCTTACAATTTCCCTTTTGAAAGTGTCTTAACGAGGTTTTATCTTAGTTTTATAATTTTTTATTACATTATTCATTGAGTTCCTCTCATGTGCTCCCAGCTTACAGCTTTTTAAAGCTTCATTTATGTTTTATTCTGTCAAGATAAAATTGTATGTGTTCCAAATGATTAATTAATTTAGTTTAATTTATAACCTATAGTTAACTGTGCTTGAAATACATAATAAACAAAGTTTTATGTGTATTAATTTTTCTATAGTTAAAGTAAACTTATAATTTATTTATTTCTACAAGTGTTAAGTGCATAGTCAATTATTTAATTTTGTATTGAAAATTTCAACATTTTTATTATATTTTGAATTTTTAATTGTTAATTCTAAGAATCACTTTTGATTGCCGTTTTAGGCACTTAAATTAGAATTATGTCTGTCATCAATCTATCTATTTCTTGATGTTTTAAAAAGTTCAGTCATTAATTATTTTTCTATTTTTCATTCATACATTAATTGAATGTAAATATGTATAACAATAGATTGAATTATGTACATATTCTCATGTGAATAATATTTATATATTATTTTATTTTGTTACTAGTCCAAATATAAGCCAAAAAGAAATTTTTTTTTTTTTTTTTGCCAGAATACCCTCATTTTATGATTGGTTTTGCTGATACAAATTATTAAAAAAAAAAAAAAAAAAAAAAAAAATGAAATAATCAATGGTGTTTGAAATGTTTAAATGGTTAAGTCACCAATTGCAAAACTAATTTTCTAAAGCACCATATTTTGGTATGTTTGGAGGTTCAATTTATACACCTAAAGGAATATTAATCATGTGGTGCTGGTTTATCTTATTTATTTGCAATTGCAAATATACTATATTTTAAAATTTCATTTGTTGCAGTTGAACATATATATTTTGTATAAAATATTTTGGTTTTTTAATTTACAATAATTGTATATATAACAAATATTTAATATCCAGTTACATGCATAAGAAGTCAAAATAAATTGATTGTTTTTGGGAAAGAAATAATTCCAATATTTATAATATTGTAATTATTTCTTTATTTTACCATATTATAATGGTATAACTAAATTCATAATATTTTGATGAGAATGAGAGTTTATTTTTGGAAATGTGTCTATATGTATAAGAAGAATTGGATAGGAAGAAATATTTTTATGAAATTACCAATAAGGTTTTAATATGTTGTGTAGCTTAAATTAAAGTGTAGTCAATCAATTAATATTTATAACTGGAATAATAATTTTTATTTAATGTTATGTAGTTTAAATAGAAATATTTTTTACTTGATATCAAGTGGGTATTTTGCTGAACTATTGATTAATCAAACTTGTTATTTTAAAAGTGGTCTTACACTATAAAAAAAATGATAGAATTATATAATATATTATAATTTATTTGTCATTGTATATAATTTATAAACTAATTTACAATTTTGAAATTAATATTCTTTTAATGTATAAATTTGAATAGTATAAATTCATATCAAAACAGGGCTGGACTGGGCAGGTGAAACACCGAGAGTTTCCTGGTGTTCCGCTTGTACTCGTTAGGAAGTTTTTTTTTTAGGTTTATTTGTTTAGGCATTTTGTTGACAGACATAGACATATTTTCTAATGCAATAGCATTAGAAACTGTCTAAAATTAAATAAACGGTCTTTAAATAATAATATGAAGTGTTCAAATTTTCATAATAAAATACAATCATTTTATATGAAAATAAACGTTTTATAGGGTTGTTTTTATACCTTTGGTATATCCAAGTGAGCTTTTTTTTTTTTCCAGTAGACATTTCTGACCCAGTCCGGCCTTGTATCAAAAACAAATGTATTAATAATGAAACAGTATTTAATTGACTGAACATAGAATTTAATCCTAACTTTGAAGTACAAATTATATATTTTGTATTTACTTTCTTTGGTTTTTCACTGTCTGATTATTTTTACAGATAAAAATACTAAGTCATTTGATTTTTTTTTATTTAACAATGATTTATAAATATTTTATTTATCATTTTTAACATTAAAATAGTGTTACTTTTTTATAATTTGACATTTTATAATGGACTCATTTAATATTTCTTCTTGAATTTGTTTCAAAAATAGTTATTTTGAATATTAATATTATATTGTAATTATAATAAATTCCATTTGCACAATTTATTGATGTAATTATATAAAATTACAATTAACTTATTTTACTTAATTCAATTAATAAGTTTGATTCCAATGTTTTTAACTATTAAACTTATATATATCATAAATTAATGATAATGAATATTTTATTGAAATGTAAACTTTGATTATTAACACCGAATTGTTATTTTGAGAAACAGTTAATCAAAAAAAATAAATAAAAGTTATGATTCTAAGATAATTAAATTAACAGTATTTCTTAAAAATAATTTTAAATTTGGATTTTATTTTACGATGTTATATTATGTAGGTTCTATCAAAGTTATTTATATTTTTATATTCGATTTTAATTAAAGGATTATTTTTACCTTGTTAATTAACATTTAGTAATCTACTTATGTGTACCCATATCATTTTTTAATCAATGATTAATAATTGATTTAGTTTTTTTTTTTACTTTTATATCAGTACATTATTTAAATGTAACTGTATAGTAAATTATTTTCTGAAAAATAGTTCATGTAATAGGTACTGAAATAGTTGATTAAAATGCGTAGAACTTCTTTGATGCAAACATTGTTTAAGTTAATTTTAAGAGCCAGACCATCTGCGCGTTTGCTGTCTTCCTAGAAAATATTCATCAGTCATATGCAGCTGATTAAAATGGCCATCGTCAACAATAACTACTGTGAAAATTCATCAATACATTGTTTTTAATTTGTTTACAGGCGCCGCTGATCCATCCATTTATATTATATTATAAATACAAGTTTGCGCAAGACTGTATCTTTGAAATTTATGTATCCATTTGTAGATTGTACAAATATCATGGGACATGATTAAATATTGTATTCTTAAGATATCAATCTTATTTTTATTATTATAATTTTTTTTTTTTGCGGGTGGTTTAAAATACATATTATTTGTCAATAATAATAGGTAATGATCATTTTAATGTCATTTTTTTCTCTACTTTTCTGTTTTAAATTTTTTTACTTTTATTGTATCATTTAATTCTGTGTATCAGTTTATTTGTACCTATAATTGTTTAGATTGATATATAATAGTGCATTGCGACCGCTTATGACATCTGGATCTTGGAACTCAACACAAATTAGACTAGATATTTAGGTACCTAATTTTGTATTACATTTACACATTAAATTATAATTTTTTTCAATATGTCTAAATTATTATTTAGCGTTTTGTTTTACAATGATAATGTCTTATGATTTATCATACAAAAACTATACAATACATTAGTCTAATAATAAAACTTAAGTATTAGATTTAAGGTGAATTTTTTATTTTTTCATGTTTTGCCCTATGCGTTTAATCGCTTCTCATCTGTAAATATAGTATATTTGTGTTATAACTGTAATAAGTTAAATTTAATTTTTTTATTTGTACTATTATTCCGAGACCTATATGCACCAATAATATTTAAAAAAAAGAAACTAATAAATGTTATTAAAAAAATGTATTTTAAGTTATAAAATTTAAATACTTTGATATGTTACAATGAAATATAATTGTAGTATTTTGTGTGTGTAGGTCTCGAGTTATTTTTATTTGTATTTTTCGGCTTTAAACACCTCACAATAATTAATCAAGTCCGTGGAAATGATAATGGCCTTCCTTGACAAATGGAACAGATTTAGTATAATGGAATTTTTACAATTCATTGTCAGAAGATTTCAAGTTGCTTAAGTTACCAAATTATTTTATTGAAAAATTGTGAGAAACAAAATAAATTGTTTTTACCATCCTTGTGAAATAATTGTATGGTTTGACTATGTGCTAAAGAATTTGAACCCTCTTTTATAGAAAATATAGTTTAAATTAAATTTACGTAATTAAAACTTTTTGTCTGTTCGAGATAACCCGTTTGAAAATCACATGTAAATATATTCTGTCACAAGAAAAACAAGTAACAGTTCAAATTTAGTTTTGTCATTATATTTGTGTTTTTTTTTTTTGGATTTCCTTAAATAGTCGCAAGCACACTGTCGTCGCAGTTGAGCAATTTTAACACCATTCATCTGATTGCCAAAGAGGTTGTATAACATATGTAAGTCGCCATTGGCTCCGCAACGTGATAAAGTGATTCCGATAAGAAACATTCACAGATATTGAAGAAGAACTATGATTGTTGTTGCAGCATAAATTTGAAGCACCACACGCAAATTTCGGCAATCGCATCGTGCGCAATATGCACGTTCGAACTGTTCAGTAAGGAACCGTGTGTGGTGGGACGAAAATGTGAATCGCGAATTGGTCCGGTGGATTCGTGTTGGACGTGTAGTGCCTCCATTATTGTGCATTTTTCAAAAATCTCATTGTTGCGTTTATTCTATCCGAACAGATCATAGAAGATAACTTGTCTAGCAACGATGTCTGGTTTGTAGATAAGCTTTCGTTGTAGTCGTCTTTTATCTTAAGTCTTGTGCTTTTTTCTCGGTGTCCGTGCCGTGTATTCATCATTGAAAGCGTTAATAATAATTTCTTGCATGTTATTAGGCCGCAAGAAGAGACCACCGCTAAAGGTTCAAATGCCCGACGAGCCGGCCGTCGTGTAAGTACTATACATATATGCATATAATTATTATTATTTACAGTTTTATTCTAATCTCGACGTTATGCATGAACATGGGGGGCTTTATATGTGTTACTTGTTAATATGGCTGATTTCATTTCAACAGTTCTCTGCCGCGAAATCTTGACAGGCGAACCACCATTACGATTGGCGACCAGACGACAACTGTTGAAGCAAACGATTTACAGAAGATTTGTGATCTCGGGCGTGGTGCATATGGCATAGTTGAGAAAATGCGGCATATACCTTCGGGTACAATTATGGCTGTGAAGGTAAGTGAATTGTTTGGGTGTACTTCTATGTGGGGTCTAGTGAAACATCTCTACTCAAAATTGTTTATGCTTATTCTAGTATCCAAATCTAATTAACCATAATTTTATTATATAATTGTGTTTAACACATCTATAAAAATTAGTTGTGTTCATAAAAGGATAGTCATATTAGACTTGTCTTCCTATTGGGTGTTTGAGTGAAGAGGGATTGCTGTTGATTGATAGATATGAATTGTATGGGTTTATTTTTTTTACCATTTCAGAGAATAGCTGCTACAGTAAATACTCAAGAACAAAAACGACTATTAATGGATTTGGATATATCTATGCGGTCATCTGCTTGTCCACACACAGTGCAATTTTATGGAGCATTGTTCATGGAGGGTGATGTTTGGATATGCATGGAAGTCATGGATACTTCTCTTGATAAATTTTATGCAAAAGTCTACAAATTCGGTAGAACTATTCCTGAACAAATTCTTGGTCCTATTACAGTGGCGGTAAGAAATTAAAATATTATCAATTTACTATTAGTACTTTAATTAACCCAAAGCCATTTGTTATAAATATTTATTATTTTATTAATAGTTTATTTGATTTTAAATAGAATTATTTCTATGTGTAATCAGTATATAATTATCAAATTTTTATTAATTCTAGGTTGTTAGTGCTCTTCATTATTTGCATTCTCAATTGCATGTTATACATCGAGATGTCAAACCATCTAATATATTAATTAATCGTAATGGTGATGTTAAAATGTGTGATTTTGGTATATCTGGATATCTAGTCGACTCAGTTGCCAAGACTATTGATGCGGGATGTAAACCATACATGGCGGTAGTTATATATTTTGTTTTTTACAAATCCATCAGTAAAACATTTAGATAGTAATTTTTTGTTTTTAATTTTTTACAGCCTGAAAGAATTGACCCGACTGGAAACCCTTCAAATTATGATATACGAAGTGATATATGGAGCCTAGGAATATCTCTTGTAGAGCTTGCCACTGGAAAATTTCCATATGATACTTGGGGCACTCCTTTTGAGCAGCTTAAACAAGTGGTCAAAGATGAACCACCAAGATTGTGTACTGGTATGTTTACATCATATTTTGAAGATTTCATTTGTCAATGGTAAGTGTTATTGAAAATATAAATATAATCACATTGGTATCAGAATTGACATTATATGGTCTTAATAGAAGGTTAGCCTATTAAAAAAATTGTTTATTGTGATATATTCTTAAGTATGACAATATTTTGTACTGGTTCCTTCAATGTTCATATAAATGTAAAATATTCTCTTATTTATTATGTATTTTTTTAAAAATTTGTTCTGCTGGCTTGTAATTTAATTTCATGGAATTTAATATTTTCAGTTTACAAAAAGATTTCCGCAGTCGTCCAAATTACTCCCAATTACTTGCCCATCCATTTTGCCTTGCTCATCAACAACCACAGACAGCATTGGTAGCATCATTTGTATCTGAAATTCTCGACTTGCCAGATTTGCTTGTGTCTGGTTAAGTTATCAGCAATTAATCCACTAACATTAATATATTTATAACAATATTATTGTATAAAAATCAACACAAACTAGTAACTATTATTTCAAACAATAATTATTATTAACAACTATTATAATGGTAAATTTATTATTTACCGCTAAGTCATAAGTAATATAATATTAAAGATAGTTTATGGAAGTATTTTTAATAATTATTTGTATAATATTAATTTATAATGAGTGATTTGTGTTATAGAAGATCTTGGTTTATAGATTTTTGTTTTTGTTTTATTTTGTTTTTATGTACATAAAATATATAATTGCATCAATACTTATTATGTAAGGTTTGCCCGATTAATACTTTTAAACAAAGCACATGGCTGTCTAAGTGTTAGTTTTGTTTTTATTGTACCATAGTGTATTCATTTTTGATGATATTATGTTAAACAAGTGAATCAAAATATCTGTACCTGTTTATATTTTACATTATTAGTGCAATATATCTGCTCTCGCATACCATTTTCTTAATCTGGTTCTTGATTTCTAAACCTTTTAATAACTAATGTGTGTGTGCATTCATTTTAATAAGGTAACAGTTAACAAATTAATTATTACTTATATATTAACTTGGTATAATTTAATAAATTATTGTGGTTCTGAAATCACAGTCTCATCATTGGACATTCATCAGTGCATCATTGTTTCCTGGTTGAGGATACTATGAAGTTTCAATTGTCTACATATATTTAGTATTTTGGAGATGTTTAGTAATTCTGAAATGCTTTACTATAAATTTGGTTTGCATACATGTTTATGAAATTGAATTTTTGATATCTTTATGAATATTTTTTCTTATTATATTATAATTTTTATATTATTCATGTTCATATTATGATGTATTTCTGATTAGGTAATTTTAACATCTATTATGTTAAAATCAACATGAAAAGTTAATTTTTAAATGTATAACCATAATGTACTATACAAGGGTATGTAAAAATAAAATATTAACTTAATAGTTTGTAAAAAGCCAAAGTGATGATATTTAAAAAAAACCAAACGTGAGATGTGTGGCAGATGCAAAACATCAAAACCATTTTGTAAAAAATATGCATGAAAGTATGATTTATTAAAGGAAATAAATAAAGCAAAAAAAAAAAAAAAATCCTTATTTACAAAATATTTATTTAATTAATATTAAAATTAAAAATCAAAAAATGACTCGTCAAATATTTATACATTTGAATTTTCTGTAATTCCATCATTTTTAATTTAATAAACTCTGAATTTTATGTAGGCCATAGACAATCAACTCTAAAATAAATGTAATTATTGGTTTTAGTTTTCGTAACACTAGAACTTCAAATGTACTAATTTAGAACTATTTATAATATTAAATCACGTAAACGATTACTTTTATACTGGTTTGGACGGTTATATTCATTTTATTTTGCTTTATGTGCGAGACGGACAACAGAGAGTTATTTGATTTCGGTTTAATTATTTACTACGTAAGTACCAATATCCAGTAAGTAGTATTTAATATAATTATTTAATATAGATAAAAACCTACCAATGACCTAAAAGACTAAAAAATATTAACAAAATTGTAATAAAATTTTATAAATCAATAGAGTTATGCTTCTAGTGCCATCAACGCGTAAACGCGTCACAGCATTTTTGACACGACGTCAGGGTGTAATAACCTTTGAAATCACAGGTGACGTTCAACGTATTAACTCTTTCCGACATGTTGGTTAGAACTGTTGACCATCTAACTATTAGGTAAAATGAGTCTTCTAAAAATATATTAGCCAAATAGGCTTTGCCCAATGCATTTAAGATACCACTTTAATTTGTAACACTGTGTTGAAAACACAGACAAGAGTTTAGACCAGCGTTTCCCAACCTATAGGTCGCGACCCAAAATTGGGTCGTAGTTCATTTGCTAAAAACGGATATAATAAGGAGAAAATATTTAAATAAATTTTAAAAATAAAAATTACTAAATATACCAACATTTTAGTCAAGTTTTTTTTTATATATGCCCATAATTGTATTATTAAACGTATAGGTAATAATAATATGAACTTGTATGAATATCTATTTTAATTTATAACCAATTATTATTTATTTATAGTAGTTTTATTACAGTAAAACTCGCTTAAGACGTTTTCCCGCATAAGACGCTATTTTCCGTTGGTCCCTAGACATTTCCTATACTAGTCAATTTAAAAACCATCTGTTAAGACACTCGGTTTTTCTCTATCTTATTGGATAAAACGCTCTTTTGTTTAGCAGATTATGATAAATTTTAGTAGGTTTGTCGAAATAAAAATAGACATTTTACTTGTTTACGTGTTCTTATTGTTGCAACGTTTTATTTTATCACTATACATATTTTATCATCAACTATTATTATTATCCAGTATCTACTCCTGCAATTACTGCTGGGTTGCAACACCTAACAGAAATTCGAAAAGTATTATCCTCTATAGAAAATTTTGAAGAAATGTTGGATTGTCTCAACAAAATAGAAAACTTTCTTGTTGAGACGCATTGTCAGCATCGTAAACAAACAGAAATATATCAATTTTTTAAATAAACAATAATAAAATATTTAATAATAATTTTTTTTAAATTAAATTCAGTAGCAAAAAATATATGTACACATGTATTTAATTACATATACATATATAATTTATTAGTGTTTATTTTGTTAAATTAAGTTCAATAATAAAAAAATGAACTCCACATTTCAATCACTTCATTTTTTTCCAATCCCGCATAAGACACTTTCCCGCTTAAAACGTTCTAGAGAGCTGGTCCCTTAAAGAGCGTCTTAAGCGAGTTTTACTGTATTTGATTTTGTATGATTTTACTACAGGAATTTGTTCGTTTTCCTAACCTGCCCGATAATTATTATTATGACAATCGTAAGTCGATTATCTAATATTCGTTATCTACGTCCTACTACCTACACACGAGTACGAAAGCACGAATACGAATATTTTAAATTTTTAATACTTGATTGACCATAAATTATGGTCTATAATATTTTAATTATAACTAAATTCTATCAAACTTCAAACTTTTTGATGGATAAATTTATTAATCGTAAAACCATAGTTGGTGGTACAAATCAAAACACAAGTGTACCATGGGCGTCCCCAGGGGGGGCAAGATGGGGCACTTGCCCCCCCCCCTAGAATAATATTATTTCCACAGAAATTGGTAAAATTCCAATTTATATTTAATGAAAAAGAATAATGTATAATAATATTTTTTAATGTTTTAATTGTAATAATAATACCTACCTAATTGTAATGTTTTAATTCATAATTTTAATAATGACGAAATATAATAATTTACTATAAATAAAATGTATAAAAAAATTTTCATTTATTTTTTAAATTAATTTTGCCCCCTCCCCCTAGAAAAATGTCTGGGGACGCCCATGAAGTGTACAACCTGTTCCATCGACCCGTTCAGCACATCCTAAAATAAAATCAACACTATATTCAGGTAATCGTAGTTACAATACAGACTTCATTAAATTTGGGTTTCAAAGTTTTGGAACGAATGAAATAATTCAGCCACAATGTGTCGTATGTGGAGAAATTTTAGCCAATGAAAGTTTAAAACCCTCCAAATTAAAAAGACATTTCGAAACAAAACACCCAAACGTAAATAACAAACTTAGGGAATATTTTGAACGTTTGAATGACCAATTCACAAGTAATAAAAATACAATCAAAACGTATTGTCATACTACATTTTCTGCAGTAAAGGTTTCATATTTATTAGGGCTTGGAAGTTAGGTTAGTCAAATGTATACTTTTCTTGATTCATCTTAGAACATCCAAAGTAAGAGACAAATATGCATGATGTGTATGATAAAACACAAAATTTAATTTTGCTATTTTTTGCATATTTACGGGTTTTATTGCTATTTTGCTAATTTAGGGTTTATAGTGCTGTTTTCGGGTATATTTTGACATAATGTAGGAAATAATTTTATTTTGTTGATAATAATTGTATTTACTTGGTTATGGTTTTAAAAAATATTTTAATTACCTATTGGAAATAAATAGACCTCATCAAATATTATTTTGTTTTCATCGACAATTTGATATATTAATAGTGACGTCATTGTTATATTATTATATTATTGCATTAGATCATCAAACTTTTTAATATTTATTAATTTATATATTTATTAATATTATTAATTTCAAGATAAATATATAAAATAATTTAATAAGAAGTACATTTTTACAAATATATTTAAGTAGGTAGTTTAACATATTTGTTAACAGTTTATAATTTAATCAGTCCAGACTGTGTCTAATGAGTCCAACAATTTGTAAAATTACATTATTTTCAAGTTAAATGCATATTTTTTGATTTTTTGTGCTATGTATAGCGCATATTTAAGAGCTAAAAAGTAACATTTTTAGTGTTACAACTTCCGAGCCTTGTTTATCAGCATATATAATTTCTAAAAATAATAAACCACACTATCAGTGAAAACCTTATTCTGCCTGCTGCAATAGATATTTGTACAGAAATATTAGGAAAGGAAGCGGCAAACAAATTAAAAATTATACCAGCCTCAAATAATATTGTTCAAAGATGCATTGTCAAAATGAGTGAAAATATAAAATAGCAATTGTTAACAGATAAAACGCAAAACCGATACTTTTTTTTTATTTAATTAGATAAAAGTATAGACGTTTAAAATAAAGCTATATTATCTGTAATTATCAGATATTTTTTTGATGGGAATATTCATGAAGATTTTTTATACTGTAATAGTTTAAGTACAACAACTGGTGCAGATATTTATAATTCATTAGAACATTTTTTTTTTTTAAAACAATATTTAGTGAAAATATATATAGTATAACTGATGGCGCGCAATCGATGACGGGTGAACATGCTGGTGTGGTACAACGTATTAATGAAGTAGCTCCGGATAATGATTGGACGCATTGTATGCTCCACCGAGAGGCACTTG